ATGACACCCTAGCCACACAGACCTCCCCTTGGACCTCGCCAGCATTTCCATTTCCGGTTTCCTGGGAACTACCATACCGGTACACTGTACCTTTGTACTGATTCCCATTCTAGCTCTTCCCCTACATCGTCGCTAAGCTGCCATTTTGGCTTTGAACATTTCCAACTTTTACATGTCTTGCAAGCACTTTGCTCTAAAAACAATTTTGAAATCTTTGTTCACATGACAGCATGCATCTGTCAAATTTCCAAGTAACACCTACAAAAATGTATGGTACATGTACATGTACGTTTGCATGTGAATGCAGGCCTATTAATGTCCAGTGTCATGTACATGTTCCTTGTTTACTACATTGTAAATGAGCACTCTAAGTAAAGCTGAGACATAACTGAATACCTAAGTCAAGACACATTTTTGCACACCGCACATACAATGTATGTACAGGTACACGTTTTAAAAAACACAAATCATTTTTTCACATGAACAAGGATGTATGGTGCGGGATATTCATTTTGCATCCTAGTATGCACACACTAAACTACTGTGTGAAGATACATGAGGTTTCTTTAATTCCTAATTTGATGAAATGTTTAAAAAGTTGGTAGTTTGAAATTTTTTTACAGGTGAGTGTTGTTTGAGTACTCGCATACCGTACTCATACAAAATACAGCTGGCTTTTATGTGGACGATGGCCGACATTATAAAGTCACGCAAGATTTTGCTCGCCACAAAATTGGAAAAACTTGAACAAGGGCATATCCACCGCACCACTATCCAGAAATGAAAACAGGGAACTGCAAGAACGACCCTGAATGACAGAAACCAGTTTGCCTGATTTCGGAAAAGGAAGTACCGGTGTCCAGCCTGTGAACCAAACTTGTACATGTACCTGTCACAGGACTGACTTCTGACAGGAAGTAAAATACAGGCCCACATGCATGGACAGCAACTGAGGGAGACAATTTCTCCATGTTGCAGTGTGGATGTCCAATTCCAATTTTAATTTGAGACGTTATGTTAACTGTGCGGGCAAATGTCACGGCCAAATTTGTTGCAAAGTTTACGACACAGCACACCAACATACATGCACATGTACAAGGCCTATCAGCTCGTTACTGTAAGTTCCGACACTAATTTTGTAGACTCCAGCAATCAGTACTTTGCATAGGGCTTGGTGTTCCAATCTACTGTTTACTTCCCGCTTTGTGAATCACTAATTTATGCACCAGACTATGCCAGAGGGTTTTAATTACATATACAATGGATAAATGCCAATACACCTGTACATGTACCTGAATGTATAGCTCCCTGAGTCAAACTTAAAAGCAGCCTACACATTTCACAAAACAGTTTGGAATTTGAAATGACAGATGTCTCAGGCAATTCTCTATTGACCTGTACTTCCACTTCCCCCTCAAAACAACCAGGTTTTATTCAGCAATCTTCTCATTCAGAGATACTGTTGGACAAATGGGAGACTGGTTTCTCCGTGCACCTTTACAGAAACTTCCATGTACATGCCCCAGTGCTGGTGCGTTTATCTTCTGGTTTTTTTTTCTGAATTTGTGAACTTTAGCATAGTTTTGATGATCACGTACATGCAGTCAAGGACGGCAAACACAAAAATGAAATAAAACTGTACAACTTTTGTGATGTGCAATTTACCAGACTAGGATCAAAAAAAAGTGCATGATGTACTTGTATACTGTATATGGCGATGCACATTTAATATATGAATGAAAAGATTATAGTTGTGCATGCTAAATAGGCATTACTCACAAAATGGGAATTTGGGATTGTGTCCCTGAGTCCACTTAATTCACTGAACCCTCTGGATTGAGAAGGAATCAGACTATTTCGCAACAATTACAGGTACGGCCTCACTGGGCTCAGTTTGAAGTATTGTCGACTTGGACAACAAAGATGACATGGCTTTCAAGCACAAAGATGGGAATTTTTTCCCCCCCTACAAAGGCCTACAGTACATGTACTGTACATGTACCGCATTACCTCTCAGACTTCATTCCCTCACATACAAAGTTTCAAGGAAATTTCTGTGTACACAGGGATTGCCTCACTTTCGATTTAAGATGGCCAACCAGTGAATGAGGCTGCCAGTAATTCATTTACCTGAATCCCAAAATGGCAGTTTTCACTTGGATTTTGTTGATCTGACAAATTTCTATTCAAAGCAGTGAACGAAAGACTTTCTGTTGTTAGCAGCTGAATTTGGTTGGTCGAGATTATCGGTACACCGTACTCATTCATTTCCTTATACATCCGTGGAGACTGAGGACCCCATACATACATGTAGTGTACCATCAGCATTGAGAGAAACTACATGTAAATGGTGTGGGGACACTCAAATGTCCCTAGAACTCAATTCATGCTCATCACAGGAAAAGAAATCTTCCCTATAGGGCGGCACTGGCTAGGGCAGGTACATACATGTACAATTACATGTACCGTACTTGTACATGTACGTACATGTATACAACATGTTGAATACAACTTAATTCAACATTAATATTTATTTATTTATTTCGCTTCTCGGGAAACACAGGTAAACAAAACAGACATATGAAGTACATGTACTTGAAAAGGGTATGTATACAGTATACAAACACGAGGTGTACATGTAGATTAAAAAGGAAAACGTTCAAGTACGTGCACTTCCTGGTTAATAGTTTTGAGACAAAATTAGATCGTAAAATAATACAGTACAGTGTACATGTACATGTACATGTACTGTAAATGTTTCCATGAGTTGCCTAACTGTTCAGAATCTTTTTTTCTGATTCACAGTTTCCAATGGTTTGGGTACATGTACACCGTACTATGTCCTTATTTCTATTTCCCGATTTACATGTAATATGATTTCAATTATCTTAAATTCAACTTTTTATTCATGGTTCTTGATCCCCCATTTCAGCTTTTATGACCTTTCCAAACTCTTTGTGACTTTGTCAGTACTACATACATACATGTACTCAGGCAGAGAATTAGGGGAGGGGGAACCCTCCCCCTCCCCCAACTCTGCGACAAAAAAGGGGTAAAAAATGGGGAAAAAATAATAGAAAATAACTTAGGTCCAGAGTGCATCAATACCACTGTGAACAATCCATGTATAATGTTTCACCATCATTTCTGCTCATCCACAAAAATGAGACGCCTGACTCCTCCCCTGGAAAAAGTTTAAGATCCACCCCTGGTACAGCACTTCTAGTCACTGACCTCAATTCCTTTGATTTCTCCAGATTTTCTTGATTTCCTTGATTTCACCAAATTACTGTTACAAATTTGATACTTTTACAGTTCTACTGGGCGAAGCGTCCTACATGCTGTTAAATTCTTTGAGGAAAAAAACAATGAATGCAAAGACACCACACTGGAAGCAGTCTCCGTCTGTTCATAACAACATATGCAGGAAGAATCGTTTTCTAAGATTCCCGTCAACAAATCAGAAAATTTAATGTACACACATGTATAAAGTATTTCTTACATTAACAGTACTTATTTCCCTCAGTCAAAAGTACACATATATATATATGTAGAAATGTTCATAACTTAGATAACTGCACTTATCCATGTATAACTCTACACTCTAGGAACAGAATCCACAGGATGTATTTTCTGTTTTGGGTTTTTGGGTTTCCAAAAGAGAAATCCGAGTAGCAGCTCAGATGTACCTAGATGTACATGTGCACATGTACTCCACACGTTTAGAGATTTTCACCTTTTGCCAAAACTACCCAAAAAAAAACACTGTATAGACTAGGAATAAAACACGTCTTGGTTTGATAAAGTGATCAGTTACAAACAAGAGTTTATCCCATTTCAGGAAAAGAACACAGAATAAAGAGACAGGGTGCAAGACTGCTTTCACCAAGAGTTAATGGAGGACATTTTCTCATCCATCTTTTTTTCACTGCAGGTTTCATTACCCCCAGTTTTAGGACCTTCATTTAACAACCATGCCTTGTGCATTTCGATAACACCAAATGTTATCATGGATCACTGGAATCATGCCTGTACTTACTCAGGATCTGAGGGTAACATCGGTCTCCGGTAACTCACGGGTACGTCTAATTCATACTTCTCCTTGGCCTTCAGATTCCCATTCACTTCCATAAACTTTTTAGAAAATGAACAAATCAACGTTATTTGTTAAACGTTTTCAAAATCCCATACTTCGAACATGTCACAATTTCTCACACCTGCAGTTAATTTCACCAAATGTACACGTATGTTCTCAAAATATTTCTCTTTTTTTTTTTAAATTAGCATACATATACAATGTACATGTACATATACACGGTACAATGAACCTGTGCACAAGCTGACTATGTCTTGTCAAAATTGCTCTCCAGTAGACTTGGAATCTGAGGCTGAATACTTTTATTCAAGCGGTTCCATGTATTTTTTAAGTTTCAACCTTCCAACTTCCAATGATTGGGAACTCACTTCAACTTGGTCCTCATTCCACCGGTCCAACTGAACGGATGTCACTTTGCTAATGTGGACACCCAGCTTGCGATGTACCGAGGCGCACGGCACGCACAAGAACACACCCAGGTTGTATGATGACCAATTCGCTCTATCTGAAAATGAAATCGCAGCAAATTTTCAATTTCTGAAATTTAACCTTCCCTCTTTTTCGTATCCACTTGCCACACTGTTTCTTCCCTATACACCAAAATCAGTATTCTAGCCACGGTGGGTAGCGCTGGGCAGCACCGCCCGGTACTGCAAATTTCCGCCCGGCTCTCAGGTTCAAATTGGCTGTGCCGCCCAGCACGGATTTCAAAAGAATGAACTGAAATATTACTGAAAATGTACCAATTCAATTGTATTTCAAGCATCAGAAAGCATTGAGAACATCTAGCTAGCACTGTTACAAGACAAGGCAGCATGCAAGTGTTCGTAGTCTTGGCTCAAGACCAGCCAAACAGCAGTATCAATTGCAAATCCAGTCCGGCTATGTAGCTAGAACACTGACCACAATGGCCTTTCATTTCATTCAATTCCTGGAAATCCTCCAGCGCTGAGAGTCAGAAAGAAAAAATGACATATCCTGTAATGTACAAAATAAAAGATATTTCCATACCTTTTGGGGACAAAAAAAACCAAAGACAAAACTGATTTAAATCATTGTTGAAAACTCACTTGTTTGTTAATAGATAATCACAGGGATATATCAGGTTGCTGGTTCCTTTATGGCTTCCTATTTTTGAGGCACAAATGTCCTATAATTCTCTCTCTGTATTTCTTTCTCTTAAGCGCATAGGGACTTCCAAAGTGATATGCGCTATGTACATGTACATGTACAAGAAAAGAAAGTTTATTATTATTATTATTATTATTAAAACAGAAAATGTTAAAAAGAACGCATCATCAATATGGATCAAACCCAGCATACAATGCTTCCAAGTATAACACTAGCCATCAAGCCATGCAGTCGCTTGGTGTTTTCCAACCTCAAGGCCACATAAGGGTGATTTGATGTACTACTACTACATACATGTACATGACTACATGAATGTATATGATTTGGGCCTAACAAATTTTAGCCATGGGAATGCTGTAACATTTAAGAAGTTTAAGCCATGCCATCGTTGTAATGGAAAAAATGCAGGTTGGCTCATGAATAACATCATAAGCATGTTATACTGGAAAGTGCTCTCGGTATTTAATGAACAATGATGAATGTTTAAGAGACTTCTTAGGCTGATTACAATTAATCCCTTGTTTATCAGCACCCAAAATTATGTTTTTGGGCTGGGAGGACCTTTGATATTTGGTTTTTCAAGTTAGTATTTTCCCGACTTTTCAGTCTTAAAAATACCTTTCTTGTACAGTGTTTTAATACTTGAGAGTTCCACATATCATAACAGCATGATCAGATCAATCGGCCATAATTGAAGGCAAGACTAGAAAATTAAAAAAAAACACACAAGACCATTTTTGTGGTGCAGACACATCTGCAAGGTTGAAAAGGGCCGGAAATCTCTTAAAAATTTGGAAATATCAAATAAAGTTGGGGCAGTACGGAAAATCCAGGTGGGTGGTGATGACAGACAAGGAATAAATTTTTAAATGACCTTACTTGAGGTGTTATTTATACTTTTTAACATGGCACTAGTAAACTGTAGAATGTGAAGTTGATTTGGGCTGATACATGTTTGCTGTAACAGCCATATGTGAGTTGGACAATTAAGAAAGAATTCCAAACACGGACGCCACTATTTTTTGCCTATAATTACCTACTGTTAGCTGCAAACCAAAAGGTTGGGGTCCTACAAATAACAGTTGCTAAAATTAATTACTGTGTAATGTCACTCTGGTTATTTGGGTCGAGTAACTTTGGAAAGAGTTCCATACAGACATCACTTGACCGTTGAAGTTGACGCCCCATGCACAAACTATGGGACTGGCCAGAAAAAAGCAAAGTAGAACCCGATCAGCCGTGATTTTTTATATATAGTGAGGCCTACACTCTATTCATTTCATTCACGGACAGACTGTGACGTGAATGAAATGAATAGAGTTTAGGCCCTACTATATGAATAAAATCATGGCTGATTGGGTTATCCCCTCGATCGGGTATACCCACACTTACCCTACATACATGTAAATCAGGTCCTAAGCTAAAGTTAAGCTTCATTTTTTTCCTTGCTAAACTTGACTTTTTAGGACATGTTATCACTTTCTGAATTCTGATGGCTAGGAAGCTACTACACGGGAAAATGAGTGATGTCCGTGTATGGAACTCCAACCGTAACTTAAATCGAGCCCATTCGTTCAATGCAAAGTCAGCGGTGCTAGAATACCAAAGTAGTTAGACTCTACTAGTTGGAGCCTACTAATAGACTCATCATGGCCGGGGCCTGAGCTCTACTTACTCCCATGACATGCTTGATTTTCATCTTTGTCGTCCCGAACGATTCTCTCGCCGCAGTCAGCGCAAACATTGTTCCCCGGTTTCTTTATAACTTCCAACAGTTTCTTTACGGAGGGATCAGCAGACATTTTCCTGCAATTTTTTTTTACCAGCCCTTGTTGACGACGCTTACTTTGAAAATAGCAGGAGTTTCAACTATCTATGGCTAGGCTATATGCACCGGTCACCGTGTGCGGGTAATCTCGCATTCATCTCAATGTTCCAGGGCGTTTTCGTGTACCACCAACAAATCGTCGTTATTTCCGTGTAAGAGCGGCCTGTATGATACCTAGGGGATTCCTGTAGGCCTCTCCATACTAGGCCGGTTGGTACCTGCCTTTTTTTTTTCTAGATGGCGCTGTCCTGCGGCCTGCTTTGC